AGTTGGTTGTGTCCCTGTGACGCGCCTCCAATAATCCATAATGAGTCGTACTTGTACTTTGCGCATTTATTTTAAGGACAAAACAAAACAAACTTTTGCGCTTTCAATCAATTTACAAATAGCGCATGGATTAACTGGTGTGCCAAAAAATGACGGTCAACAGAAAAGTTTGCCCACGAACCACTCACCCAACACACCTGCTGCGAACACCGACATCAGGTAAATAGACTGTGACCACACCCACATGCCATCACCTGAGACGCAGGTAAAGCTATACACCTGTGCCACCAAAACAAAAAGGAAAAACATAAACATTGACTTTGGCTCTTACAGAGAGGTCAGCTGATCACAGCCTGCCCAGGGATGGAGATGGGTTACAGTCCCTGACTGAGAGCAGTGGTGCATGGTGGGTAAGTAACGAGTGCAGCCACAGAGGTACAGACAACCACTCAGCCTCACACTGACCGTTCAGGATCTCTGTGGGAGGGTTGCATGATGTCCCTGCACGAGTCTCTGTGCCTTTATGTAAAACACAACAGTGATATTATTACACCAGTCATCTGAAACTAAAGGACACGTCCACACTGAAAATAAAATGTTACGAGTTCAATATTGGGGATGGAGACAAGAGGAAAAACCACAATAACAACACTGGTCCGGCCGGGTTGAGTCAAACGATGATTTTAATGATCACACACGTGGGGGATGGACACTGTACGCAGACAGCATCAGATCTCAAAATGGTGGAGCATTGCTCAAACTTTTATAGCCTCTGGTGTCTCCACCTTATCATAAAGCCTAAACATTTCACATGCCTTCTCTCACACAGCGCCTAAGCTACGACCTTGGCTCCCTGTTTATCTGCTCCTGCTGAGATGGGGCAGAAAACTCCAGCATGTTCTCTCCTAATCAGACAAATAAGACGATGCTTTTGCAGCCTTTGCAGTGTTCCCTTGCGTTTTAATTCAACTCTGAAACTCCTGAAATCCCTCAATCAAGAGTTCTTGCTCTGCTGTCGAAAAATACCGAGCGCGCTCCTTCGACATTTTCGCCGACCAATCAGAGGGTTGCCGATCAATGTTTCTACTATCGATGCGTAGCCCCTTTTACGACACCCAGTGATCTCACATTACTTCATCCAGCTGTACTAATCGTCAACAACAGGTGTGTTCGAAGAACCGGAATAGCGAGCTCAAAGTTAGCGCGATGATTTGATCTTGGATGTAGTAAGCGAGGTACGAAGAACGGACCCCAGGTGACCGATGGTAAACCTCAGAGACGCTGCTGCTGTTTACGTCATGTGACTCAGTTCTCCAACACAGACGCCTAACAGTCTGAGCTTCATGAAGCTCGCTGTTCTGCAGCCAGTCTGACCTCCGAACTTTCAACAACTGCTGAACTCTGGGTCCTCAAAATCAGTGAAAACCTTCAGCCAGAACTGAACCCAGAATCCAACACGTGTGTGATAACCTCAGACTTTAATCATAGAGACACAAACAGTTAAATACTGTGACATCTCTGAACTTGCAGAGTCTTTAACTGGATCAAACAGAAGATGATATAAAGCTGCTGCAGGACCTCTGGAAACAAGAAAAACTTGAAAAAGGAACTGAAAAGAGAGTCGTCAGTGGAAAGAGGCTAAAGTTGGCTCCACTTCCACTTCTCCATCCACCCAAACATCCATCCATCATCCAAACATCCACCGTTTTGCTGTCTGATTCAAAGCCTTTTATGATCTTTAGTCACAATAAAACCATGAAAGTCATCAGAAACATCCAGCCTCTGATGATTCATCTTTATCTACAGTTTGTTTCTTGTATTGAAGGCAGGATCCAAACATCGAGCTTCATATTATCCATATTTCCATCTTTACTGGCTGCTGCTGTTTGCTCATTAATCATTAAATATGCTTGAAATAAATGATGAATTAATTGTAAAGGTTGTCAGTCCTGTGTGTGCTCAGCCTCATGAAGGTGCAGCGTGTTCCTGACCCACACTGTTTATACGTTTACATGTGTGGGTTTAGTTTGATAAGTTTTGTATGTAGTTATTAAACTCATTTTAACACAAATGGAGGAACAACAACACATAAATACAGCTGTTTAGTTTGTATCAGTGTTTATCACACATGATTGATATGAAGATGTGGAGATGAGACACAAACATGAACAGTTCCTGTTCCCTTATACAAATATATTATTTAACTATTATATTCATACAGCACCAGGTTCACTCAGCTTTGATAGAAACATCCTTCTAAGAGCTGCTTGTTGCTGCTCTCACCAGAGTATTTCAACTCAAGTATGTGTACTTGTACCTGAGTGAAGCATGTGTGGACTTTTCCCACTTGTTTTAAGAGGAATATTCACATTTATAAATCCACAGGTCATGAACTGTGTGTTTACAGTTGATATGATTTTGACTTCACTGATAAACTAATAATAGCAATGGATTGGATTTATATGGCGCTTTTCAATTCCACTATTTATTCACTCTCACATTCACACTGGTGGAGGCAGCTACAGTTGTAGCCACAGCTCTGTCTGTGAGGCTTTAACAAACAACAGTTTAAAATCTTGTTCCATGTCAACCTGGATAGAAATACAGACCTGCTTGCTGTGATAGACCAAAAAGCCAAATCAGGTCCAGTTCATACAGTTAGGTCCACAAATCAAATAAGGGAAAATAAAATGTTCTTTGGATGCACCTGTCTGCTCCCTTAGTGCTCTCTGGTCGCTATGGTAACGCGTAAATATTTCTAAATAAAACACACGACTATAACACGGGAAAAGACCCAGGGAAACCAAGTTAACGATAAAAACCCTGAAAACCATCAATTGGCAAATTGGCAAAGGGAGGAAGTGACGTAAGATTTACGCATGCGGGGTTATAGTGTCAGTTTCTGGTAGGGAAACAAAAAAAATAAAAGAAAGAAATGTGAATTTCAGAGATCAGAAGATTAGAATCAACAACAAGAACTTTTATACATTTTAATGATAATAATAAGACATTTTATTTATAGGCGCCTTTAAGACCCTCAAGGTCAAAAAAGTTCTCTGAAAACGGACAAATACCTGTGACAGTGTGATACTCAGTTTACACTATGGTAACGTTAGAGCTGGGCTTTGTTTAACAACAGCTTTAACATTAATGTACTCCCTCAGCACTTAAAGCTTCAGCAAAAGTTACCATGCTGATTTATCCAGGTAAAGTCACAGCCGCTGTCCTGGTACTGAAAACTGACTTTAACCCTAGAACACTATCGCTGGGTGATTTACACCCGAGAAAATACATTTACATGATTTCTCTCTCCTGCAGCTGTTTGCGTGTCGAGGAGCCTGCGCCATCACCAGGGAAGTCTCAAATGTCCCAGGAATGGTGGACCAAAGACCAGCTTTCCAAAAAAAAGGGATCGGGTAGTGGCGACCACATTTCAAATTTGGGGAAATCGACGGCGCATTTGGAGTACACTTTGGATTGGGACAGCCGTTGTCGCGTCGCTGTGACGTAATAGTTCTCAAAATGCATACTCCGAAGCGTGCGGTCACACAGCCTGTGTCCTCATGTAACGTCTGCTGGAATCACTGAGATGGTTTTTATCTATCAGTCACTGTGCTGCACCACACCCCACTCACCTCACAAGCTCCATCCTCACAGTACATGAGGTCAATGTGGGCAGTCGACCTGAGAAAGGCTGCTGCTCCTGACGGTGTCCCAGGCCGGGTGGATGGAATCTTCAGCCAGTGTCTGTCCCACTGAATTCCTCCACCATCATTAAACCCCGTATCTCCAGTTTCATCAACTCTTGACACCACCCTCCCCTGGAATAATGAAAACACCACGATGGCTGCCTCTGCCCACACTGGAAGACCCCCACAGCTCCCTCAGAACATGATGAAGGACCCTCCACACCAGGTCATTCACTGTTTGAACAGGCAGCTCCATCAGACCTGGACAGCCTGGTCTAAACACAGCTTTGACCCAACAGCAGTGAACACAAAGCACCAACATGAGTGTGTGTGTGCAGCTGCAACACAACAGCACAGTGTTTGATTACTGACATGTTTGTGGTTTCTAACCAGCACCACACCTTTACTCATTACAGTCCCAGTAAATTCTACTTTATTCTATTCTGGCGTAGTCTGCAGAAACTGAAGAGTGGAGACTGCACTTTACTGCAGGGTGGTGTTTCTCCACTGAAGTCTGGGTGGATGAGATGCAGTCTAAGGCAATAATGGAGTGGATTTATATAGCGCTTTTCAAGGCACCCAAAGCGCTTTACAATGCCACTATTCATTCACTCTCACATCCACACACTGGTGGAGGCAGCTACAGGTGTAGCCACAGCTGCCCTGGGGCAGACTGACAGAAGTGAGGCTGCCATATCGCGCCATCGGCCCTTCTGGCCAACACCAGTAGGTGGTAGGTGAAGTGTCTCGCCCAAGGACACAATGACTGAGACAGTCCGAGCCGGGGCTTGAACCGGCGACCTTCCGGTTACAAGGCAAACTCCAACTCTTTGAGCCACGATCAGTTGCCACGGCAACTGTTCTCCATCAGTCTGTCTTTATATCTACTGTTAATATATAAATATTAAAAAAGGCAAATGATTAAATACTGTATATGAGACAGAGACACGGAGACGTCATGTTAATATGTAAAAACATTTAATCTGGTTCATACAGCACCAACATCAGTGACCTCAGGGGGATTATATGGATACATATGACACTGATGGAGGCAGCTGTCAATCACAGGCACTGACAGGACGTGTGGGTGTGGCCTCAGGGCCTCCATCACGGCTCCTTCCTGCTCTGATTGGAGCTCTGAGGTCAGAGGGGTGTTTCATCATGTTTGTCTGAAGCTTCCTGACAGTCAGCAGCTTTGACCTTTGACCCCCATAAAGCTAACATGTGACACAGAGTCAGGACGCTCCGTGGAGATCCATCAGAACAGCAGAAACACAATCATCATCATTATAAACTTCTAATGTAAGACAAACAGCTGCAGAACATCTGGCTGAGGTTAGTTAGCTGTTAGCTGTTAGCAGAGGAAGGCCAAAGCAAAGCTGCATCTTCATCTGAATACACACTAAATACTTTATCCTGTATATACACACACATCACCAGCTCCTCCTCCTCCACTATGACCCATCAAGCTGACTGAACTCCCACCAGAGGAACGTCTTCATGGTTCCTGTTCCTGAGGACACAGAGGACAGACAGAGCAGCTCAGTTCATGTGTCCGCAGGACCATGTGTCCTATTTAAATGTGACAGAGGTGGAGCAGCTGAAGGTGAACGGGCACCTCCACCACAATAATCTTAATATTGTTTCATCCTGTAATCTCACATGGACATATTTGGACACAGTCCACCAGTGTTAGACAGGATGAACATACCTGTGTCCCAGGTCAGACTGTACTCTCCTGTGCTTGTGAGGCCGAGGATGTGGAAGCATCTCAGCCATGGTGTCCATCAGGGTGACTGCAGAGGAGAGGAGAGAGGGTCAGCTCTGATCACAGACAGTATAAAACATGAACACCACCTGACGGAGACAGCTGAGGATGTACTCAGACTCTGGTCCTATAGGAGTCTGTAGGGAAACAGCTTCCTGACCTTTGACCTGTGCACACTTTACTGCTGACTCACTGATTCTGGCTCAGATTAAAGACAATATTAAGAAAATTTATCTTATAACATGTTTCAAAGAGGAGGATATGCAGCATTTTATCTGCTTTCTCATTGGCTAATGACTTGTCAATCATCTCCAAAAGTTGATTCTGTTCATCTGGACGTTTTCAGTGGGAGAAACGTTTCATCCAGGTGACGTCTTCAGCCTCAGCTGACTGCAGGTTTCAACCTTATAAACAGGACATTTGCATAATGACTGAAACCAGCCCAGTGAAGGAACAGTGGGCTGGGAGGTCAGTTTATGATCATGTGACACGTCCCAGCTTGTCAGTGTCTGACAATGGCGAGACCTCCCTCTCCCCAGCCATCTCCTCCCGCTTGTGCAGGGGAACACCAGCCGAGAGATATAATCTCTCCAGCGTGTCCTGGGTCTGTGAATGAAACACTTCCTGTTAGCAGGATGCTAACCCTGGTACTCTAATAAGAGACTCAACATGAGCCACAGTTATGTCTGAGTTTCATACACTCAGTGAGCCTGACTGTGGTTTGCAGGTACACTCCACACACAGAACAAAGTCAAATCTGACTTTCACTTATTACTTCAACAATAGATGAGTTAGCTCAAATGAAAATCTCTGCATTAACGGGACATATAAGTCATACAATAAGTGAAAATGCTTTTTTTCCATCAGGTTTTACTATTACCGTTATTATCTGTTAGTATTTGATCAGGTATTGATATCAGTTTATGATGAAGGTGAAGGAAACACTGAGCTGTCTGCTGTTGGACACAAACACAGATCCACACTTCAAACATTTAGGACGACCTCATCATTTATTGATTAGTCTTTAGAAATGAACAGTTTGGGTTCTCTGTGACCTGTGATGACTTCACTCACCTCTGACTCTAAGTATTGCTGAATCCTCTAGCAGTTTCTTTCTGTCCTTGTTGTAGACAGTACAGGTGTAGACTCCCCTGTCAGTAAAGCGGGGCTTTTTCAGGGTCAGACTGAGGTCTCCAGTTCTCAGTGGATCTTCATTCATCTCTGTGCGACCTCTGTAAACCTCGTCCTGTTCATCTAGCTTATCTTTTCCACTCTCATACACGTGGACCTTCATGTTGGAGTCTGAGTGTTTCCACTCCACTGTGACGTCCTGAAGAAGGTCAGGTGGGATTTGAAAGCGCAGCTGCACAGACTCCTCCCTTTGTGTCACCTCCACTATCGCCATCCATGGAGCTGAGAGGAGAACATGAACACAGACAGACATGAGTGAGGTTGATGCTCCATCCTGTCCTCTGCTGTGTAACCAGCTGTTCTCAGCGTTTCTCTGACTCTGAGCTGAACTGTTGTGTTGATGTGTGAGGCTGCACAAACAGCTGGACACACTCACAGGTTTACACATCTGAGATTCCCACGGTGGACAGACAGCTGTTACACTCACCTGTGACACTGAGAGTCACTGCTTTCTGCAGCATGTCTCCATCCTTGTTGTAGACGGTGCAGGTGTAGACTCCACTGTCCATGACGATGGGATATTTCAGGGTCAGACTCAGGTCTTTAGTTCTCAGTGGATCTTCCTTCATCTCTGTGCGACCTCTGTAACCCGGGTTCTGTTTGTCTGGCTGATCTTTTCCACTCTCATACACGTGGACCATCCTGTGTTTGGGGTCAGTCCACTCCACTGTGACGTCGTGAGGAAGGTCAGCTGTGGTTTTAAAGGGCAGATCGACAGACTCTTTCTCCTGTGTCAGCCCCACGACCTCTGTGTGAGGAACTGAGAAAAAAAAAGCAAAAAACAAAGAGACAGACATGAGTGAGGTTGATCCTCCATCGTCTCCTCTGCTGTGTAACCAGCAGCTCTTCATCCTGTTTTCAGTCACTGTGGACAAACAGCTGTTACACTCACCTCTGACACTGAGAGTCACTGATTTCTGCAGCAGCATGTGTCCACCCTTGTCATAGACGGTGCAGGTGTAGACTCCAGTGTCAGTGAGGTTGCGGTTATTCAGGGTCAGACTGAGGTCTTTGGTACTCAGTGGATCTTCATTCATCTCTGTGCGACCTCTGTAACCCTGGTCCTGTTCATCTGGCTGATTGTTTTCACTCTTAAACACGTGGACCTCCATGTAGTTGGAGTCTCTCCACTCCACTATGACGTCCTGAGGAAGGTCAGCTGTGGTCTTAAAGGGCAGCAGGACAGACTCCTCTCCTTCTGGCACCTGCACAATGTCTGACAGACTCTCTGAACACAGACAAACAGACAGACATGAAGATTTAAACAGCTTTGGATCCATTACACTCACAGAGCCCTTCTACAGCCTGCTAACATGGAAACTTTAAATAAAAACAGCAGCAGAAGGTTTCATACATGTGTAATTTGTTCTTTTCATTTAATAATAGAGTCCATATTATATCAACAGCTACATCCACCCTGGAGAGAAACTAGTGAGGGAGACCATCAGGACCAAGCTGGGTTTCTGGGTCCAGAGGTTTGGAGAAACTTCTTTCTTTTCTTTCATCACAGCTGTCCTGTGCCAGATGTTCTGTTGACCCACTGAGAGACGCTTCATTTAAGAAACACCAGGAACACTGAAGCACATGGCATTGATTAAGCAGGACTCATGATCTTCACCAGCAGCTCCCTCACAGGGAAATCTTCATCACTCCACCGTAGGCCGCCCAGGAGATGGATAAACCCAGCATTTCATGAACACTGTGATGGAGACCTTTGCTTTGTGTAATGTTATAAATACTCGGATACTCCCCAGAGGCTCCGGACTTTTACATAGATATTATATTCAGTCCTGTAGAAAGTTATATATTTAACCTCCTAGGACCTGGCTTCCACACATGTGGACATGACATTTTGGGTTGTCTAAACCAAAATATAAGGTTTTGCCTGATATCCACTTACGAGGACATTCTACTGCCACTGTTCTACCAAAATGTAAAACGAATGTCCTCATGTGTGGATCTCATTTTTCTTAGAAACAAACATCAGGTAAAAAAAACAAAACGTGTAATTCTTTGTTTTTACATTCATCAGGTCCCAATCTGCCCAAATAGCAAAGAGAAATGAAAAATGCATGCGCTGAAAGAGTTTGGGTCTTAGGAGGCTAAAATATATATGATCCTCTGTGGTTACTCTGGTATGAATGATTCTCAATTACTTTGATAAATAGCACACTATTGACAAAGAACAGTGAAAGAATTCCAGGTCAGAAGTTTGTAGTTCAACATACAAGTGACGACCTTTGACCTTCATCAGGTTTTATTTAATTGTGTTAGAGAAACTCAAACGTGCTCTTCATACATCAAGTGTTTAAAATGGAAGCTGTGCAGGTCTGAGATACAAACTGAGGTCCTGTTAATGCTGATATACAGTGACACAGTTACAGGGGTGATTAATCCTTTTGTTTTTTGTCTTTAACTTTATCGATCTTAGTAAAAATAAAAGTCAGTGCCAACAAAGTCATCAGTGGAAAAATTACATAATTCTAACTTAATCTGCCACATGGCCATAGTTAGTTTATATGTATAAATAACAGGCTTTTCTCATTTAATTACTACTTACTGATTACTGAGTTACTTAAGTGAAAGCTTTTTTTTATTTGGTGTTACTGTCTTTACAGATGTGGCAAGAGACTGAAAACATGCTGTTGTTTGCACATCTTTAATATTCAGCTCTGCACAGGAGCTGCAGCCAGACACCAGGGGGCGATAGAGACGTTTTGGCTTCATTTTTGGGGAGCTGTCGCGTCGTCTATGTTTTCTACAGTCATTGGGCTATACACATGACCAACCTTCTACATGTTAAACTCACCTGTGACTCTGAGTAGCACTACTTTCTGTAGCAGCTTGTCTCCACCCTTGTTGTAGACGGTGCAGGTGTAGTCTTCACTGTCAGTGAGTTGGGGGTCTTTCAGGGTCAGACTGAGGTCTTTAGTTCTCAGTGGATCTTCATTCATCTTTGTGCGACCTCTGTAACCCGGGTCCTGTTTGTCTGGCTGATCTTTTCCACGCTCATACACATGGACCATCGTGTGTTTGAATACAGTAAGTCTCCACACCACTGTGGCTTCCTGAGGAAGGTCAGCTGTGGGATTAAAGGGCAGCAGGACAGACTTGTCCCCCTGTCTCCACTCCACCTCCTGTACCAGCGGAGCTGAAAGGAGAGCGTGTAGAGACAGATGTGAGTGTAATCCTCCATCATGTGTAACCTGCAGCTCTTCACTCCTGTTGTTTTCATGCTGGATTTTGGCTGTGGACAAACAGCTGTTACACTCACCTTTGACTCTGAGAGTCACTACTTTCTGTAGCAGTTTCTTTCCATCCTTGTTGTAGACGGTGCAGGTGTAGACTCCACGGTCAGTGAGGTGGAGGGGTTTCAGGGTCAGACTCAGGTCTCCAGTTCTCAGTGGATCTTCATTCATCTCTGTGCGACCTCTGTAACCCTGGTCCTGTTCATCTGGCTGATTGTTTCCACTCTCAAACACGTGGACCTCCATGTTGGAGTCTGAGCGTGTCCACTGCACTGTGACATCCCGAGGAAGGTTAGCTGTGGTTTTAAAGGACAGCAGGACAGACTTCTGCTGTCCTTCCTCCACCTCCTCTGACTGAGGAACTGAGAGAAAAAAAGCAAAACATGCACAGACATCAGTATCCTTGTATTTAAATGTGAAACACTGTAATATATGTTGACCTCACGTATGTTATGATATATATTATTGTACATACTGTTGGTGGTGTTTGGTGAACTCACTGCCTGTTACCTGGCATTACAAAGGTACGTAGTGTCTATGTTCTCAGCTCAAAGTCAGGAAGTATAAGTGTGAGTCTGATAATAACGCTTTGTTGCACAGATGTCAATGAGTTGTAGTCTTACTCTCTGCAGCTCCTCTCCTCCTGCTACCCCCCAAACCCCATCTCCACTGAGACTGTGTCAGCTCTCAAACAGAGAAAAACCAAACTAAAAACCAGCAACAAACAACTTAAACATAAAAACCATGTGTGAAACAAATGAATAAATAAATAAGGTTGGGGAAACCTGCAGTCATCATCACCTGATGATGATAAAATGCTCCTCCCACTGAAAACGTCCAGATGAACAGAATCCACATGTTGGGGATTTACTTACCTGGATGACTGAGATGCACCAAATGCACTATGTATGCATTTGGTGCATCCAGATGTTACAGACGTGTCGGAAACATCAGCAGCTGGTTTCACTGATCTGTGAGGAGCTGCTGGATTCATGTGTGGAGGTCAAAGGTCACACACATCAGTCAGAGTGATCTCTCTGTTACTGAGTCTTACACAAACACACACACACATATTATAAAACACACACACACACCTTCTCTGTCCTTCATCCTTTTGTATGCATAGCACACAAACAGACCAAAGGCTGCAGCCAGGATGATCAGAGTGACCAGCACAGCTGCGAGGACTGTGGGCCAGACTGGAGGAGGAGGAGGAGGTTCTGTAACACAAACACAGGAGACATGAACATCATCAACATGTTTGTATGAACTCACATCAATCTGACCTCTGTCCACTCACCTGTGACCTTTAGCTGTACTACTCCAGGCTGTCTCTGAGCTAGTCCAGCCTTGAGGGCGGTGCAGGTGTAGGTTCCACTGTCAGAGACTGTGGGGTTCTTCAGAGTGAGGCTGAGGTCTCCAGTCTGCAGAGCGTCGGTGAACATTGATGTTCGACCGAGGTAACGATCGTTTTGATAATCAAGATCGTCACCGCTCTTTAGACGCAGGTGAACTGTTGGGTTTGTGAGCCCAACACGGTCCCACACTGCTGCTGTGGAGCTCCTGGAAACATCAGCTGGTACCTGACAGGGCAGCAGGACAGACTCCGCCCCCTCATACACCTCCACCCCTGAGGCATGCTGGGAAACTGAGGAGAGAAACATGAAACAGGTGAGATCTTTCTCTCTCTCTCACACACAC